ACCTAACAGAGGTCAGGTACACGAAAGAGTTGAAGAATTCTCCCCTAACTATTGGCACTGGGATGATGGACCTTAACTAAGCTTCTTTGGATAACTGAGTTCAACAACTGTATGGATGACAAGCGGATGGCGGTTCTTCGGCAGTTTCCTTCAAAGATCTGTGACTATACCGAAATCTTGAGAATCGAGCACCAAGAAATATACCGGTTAACATAAGCTTACTACTTATTTGTTATCCTGATCACATACCTGGAACACAACTATAAATCTCATGTGGATACTGCATGGAGCCAACTCAAGTCATCTTGCTTCCACATAACCTGACCCCTAGCCTCACGGTATCTGCGAAGTGGTCGAAAACACTGGCTTTTCTAGGTAACCCAAGAATTTCGTGGTCTAGTATTACATAAGTACTTTGATGTTTTCGTTACACTCACTGCCACAATCACCAATGTTATTGCAAGAATTCGTCAATCTTGAGTGAAGCTGGAAGTTTAGTCAGCCGAAAACGGGATCGTGCAACCTAATAAACCATTTCCCTACAGGCCTTTCAGGAATAAGACGCCAAAGAGAGTCAAAAACGAGATTATTGACATAGGCGAATTCTGAGAACATGTTGTGTGTACGCCAGGATAAAGCTTGTTTGAAACATTTTGTGGGTTATCTTTTTCTGGTAGCTTAAATTGCTGGCCCGCTAACTTTATTATTTAGGTTATCTCTCTCAGATGGAATGCAACCACACGGTTGGAAAGATGCTGCTTTATAAGGGAGGGTCTAAACTCCGTCTCTGAAAATTCAGGACCACGAGTCTTACTAGTACTTTGGTCTAGATCCTGGAAAGATTGGTTGGTAAAGCAACCATGATATATCTAGGAAACAAAAAGACTTTTTTCCAGCATACTATATGTTTTCCGGTTGAACCTTTCGTGTCCAACAAACTCGAATGCCCCCAGCCAACGAAGCCGAATGCTCAACGACGTATATCAGACACGTAAATGTCAACTCGTCTGAGAGATACGGAGTATATCTGACAATTTAGATGCATACCTGTCTTGGTGTCAAAATAAATCATTACCTTAAACATATGGTACAAATATGCGTAATGTCGCCACGCGGGTCTAGATTCTCATGGGAACTTCTCAAGAACTCTACCAGTTGTTGGCCAATGTCAATTCGATGAGAGAAACTCTAGAGAGAGTTGTTCCCTGTCAATACAGGCTGTGCTTGTGACACTCCAAGATGATATTATTGATGATTTTGCCACTTCTGCTGCTGAAACTTTAGAAAAATCAGAACGACCAGTCTCGGAAATGTGCTGTGTCTCTTGACAGTCTTCGAGTAGTTACACTGAAGTGACAGAGATATGCAAGTCTGTTAAGTGACCACTAAGGTCAGACGGACCCTGTTTTCCCCTACCGTTGATAAAATTCCCCTCAACAGCGAAACTCACGTGGTTAATCAGAATAAAAACCACGTTTACCTAAAAAGCCTAAATAGTGTTGGTATCACGATGCCTATGAACAGAAAGCAAAGCGTTACCGAAAACTCTATAGTTTCGGCAGTAACTCCAAGACTATGAAAATCTATCCCGCCGAATCGTGTTAGCGGCAACCGCCACCGGTGTTTGTAGCCGCCTACTGTACATCCGCGATATAGCCAATAAAACCATGTAGCGTTGAGGCGGTCTATGACTTTCCGGAGCCGAATACGGTGAAAAAGCTTCGCACTTTAAATAGCTTGGTAGGTTGTTATTGACGTTTTATTCCTAACCTTGCCACCTTAATTCAGCCACTGACAGACCCTCTTCGAGGGAACAGCAAGTCCATCGGCCAGGATTTAAAGGCCCAATTAAGTATTTCCCTCGATGCATCATACACTCAGCGCAGTTCTGCAACAACTAGTCAACAAACAGTGCCAACCACTCGCCTTTTTCTTGGGGCGTCTGCAACTAGCAAAAACCGAGTACAGAACATATGGCAGAGAACTTCTGGCAATGTACTGCGCTACTTCCAACATTCAGCGGGGGGGGCGTGAATTCATAATTTTCAACGACCCCGCGGAACTCGACTTCAGGTAAGTATTTACCTAGAGAATCACGACCTCTGGACTACGTTTCACAGTTCACATCAGATATTCGCCATATATCCAGAGTGAACAACACTGGCAGATGCATTGTCACGCATTTGTTCTCTCGTCTAAATAATATATATTTCCTATCTATGTAGGACACACCAGTTATCCAGGAATGGATAAGTATTCTTTAAATTATATGAATTTGATTTATAGAGAAATTACATGGTTGCTGTCCTCTCTGACATCAATTAGTGAGTACATTCTGATAGTTAGTCGTTCAGTAGAGCACATAAAGAAATGTAGAAATATTGTCTTCGCATTAACAAAAAACCCAAGTATGTGTCGGATAAATTACAAATATTTGGGAAAAAATAAAGCTTGAAGTCAATTCTTCCATATAACTTTGTTGTGTGCGGCATCGTATCTTGTTTTATGTTCAAATTTGGTATTAATTTAAAATGAGTGATTTATTTGCATGATTTTGACATCATTTTTATTGCAAGTAATACCAGATGTGAATTCAACTGAATGCAGATTAATATTGGTCAGTGTAAGCGGACACGTTTTACTGCACCCAAGTAACCCAGAGCCCGCTATTTGTCACTGCATGGTTGCTCCGTACGAATAAGTTGATAAACACGTAGAAAGCTATATAAAAACCATTTTAGATCGTTGACAGTGCTTGTATAAGATGCTGTACAGCGTCTTGTTATGGTGACAGTGGATTTCATCAAGGATGCTGAGCCATTACTAGCCAAACCTTGAGGGATGATATATGAGTAAGTGAATTCAATTGTTTCTCAGCTTCAGTCGGAATGTAGATCAATGCAACTTGTACTACAAGGCAAATACAACAGAAATGTACCAGAGGGCAGAGAAAAAGTATGTGGAGTGGGACATATATGTTTATATTCGTTGTACATTGTAATTCAGTGAACAAGTATTTATTTCTACTAAGTCTTTTTATGCATCTATGCTACTCGTTTATTTATAGCTTTTAGAGTAGTAAAAGTATTTAAGCGCTTTTAGGTACTGTAGTAGACTAACAGTTGATTCTTTCTAGGAATAAATAGTTTACTTATATAACCAGTAGAGTGAAGCAGTATGTACAGAGAGCGTTTGAAACTTATAACCGTATTGCAGTTCCTGACTTCGAGGGGCAGGTTGTTCCATATTTTAGAATACATGACTGTGAAGGAGTTTTCGCGGAGTGTTGACTTAAAGGCTTTTATTGTCTCAGTGCAAGTTTGGTTACGCAGATCGTAAGAGCCTTCTTGTGCGAATTGTATGTCCTTACTGTCTGAGAATGATATTTTGTGTAGGACCTTATAAAAGAATACTAGGTTTGTAATTAGTCGTCTTGTCCAGAGTGGGTCAAGTTGTAGAATCATGCACCGTGAGATGTAATCTTTCTTATATTCGTAGCCAAGTAGTTTTGAGGTAAAATATCGTTGGATACTTTCCATCATTAGCTTTTCACGTGTGTGAGTGCTGCTAATAATAAATGGACAGTATTCTAGTAGTGGCGTCACACAGGTTTTGTACAGAATGAGCTTTGCTTCATTGTCGTGAAAGTTCTTGAGTATGCATCCTAAGAGCATCCTCGACTTTTGAGTCTGTGATGCCACTTGCTCAGAAAATGTTAGGTTACTCGAGTACCTCAAACCTAGGTCATCGACACTATGGAGTCTGGTCAGGTTAGCCAATTGAAGCGTTAAATTCATGTCGATTGAGGTGCACCGAGGCAGATCCAGCCACATTTTTTAAGGTTAAATTGTAGATTCCATAAAGACGACCAAGCAGTCACTTTATCTAGTTCTTTTTGTACAACATTCTGGAAGTACCCTAGGTCATCAGATTGGAATGTATAAGCTACTTTTAGGTCATCTGCAAAGATGAATGGTTTCCCATGAGAGAAGCGAGCGCATATGTCGTTAATATATAGAGTAAATAGGAGGGGTCCAATGACATTACCTTGTGCTACACCTGAAAATATTGGGCTAGATTTCGAAGTTGTAGATCCGAGTTTAACTATTTGGGACCTGTTGTTAAGGAATGATTTAAGCCATCCGAATAGTGGGTTACGTATTTCTAAGGAATTCAGCTTATGTATTAGTAGTAAATGGTCGACACGGTCAAATGCCTTTGAGATGTCAAAGTAGATGACAAGCACTAGTTGTCGTCTGTCACGACTGCTGGTCGCAAAGTTAAAGAAGTCTAAGTGGCATGTTAAACAAGATCTGGATTTTAGGAATCCATGTTGGTTCGGACTTATAATGTTGCAGCTAAGCATATGCTTGATTAGGTTATCTTTAACTAGTCTCTCCATAATTCTAGATGCTATAGGTGTGATATTGATCGGCCTGTAGTTGTTGACTTCTGTTTTCGAGCCAGATTTGTGTTTAGGCATAATAAACGTTGTTTTCCACATATCAGGGTAAGTTTGGGTTTCTAGGGACATTGTGAATATTTTAAGCACTAGTAGGGGAATGTCAGGGCCACCATATTTATAAAAATAGGATGATATGCCGTCAGTACCGATGTGGTGACAGTTGTCTACTAGCCAAATTGGTAGGCAGTAGTTTACGTCAATATTTACGTTCCCAAGATTTGTCGTGAGAAACAACCAATCGGAAGACTGTGTTTGTTTGTTTACATATCCATAGTAATGTACATGAAAACATATATAAATATGCGTTGATTTCCTTAATAAATGATCTGTTGCCTGACTCTTGCCTTCTGTCGTTACACCGAGACCTTTTGAGCATTTCAGGGTTCTTATAGTTTGTTTAATGTTAGCATAAGTAAATCCAATGGTATTAATTAAGTTTGGTGTGTGTGGAGATGGAGTTTGTGCCATATTAGTAGCAGGGTGTAACCGGACTGTGGGCTTAAGGTAGTTACTTGCTTTTCGCATTAACATACCTATGGTAGGTCTATACCGCAATTCAAACATTAGAGTCGGTGCATTTTTCCTCGACTAAGTTCTCAGCATTATGGTTCATCATTTTCCAGGTGGGACGGGCACATTAAATGAAGTAAACGAAGCGTGAGACTCAGCGGACGAACACAAACAATGTGATATGCATATACCAGATTAGCACAGGTAGACTCTCAGTAGGCAACCCATCAATCTCATCGAAAGAGTTTTACCAATGATGTCACCATAAGTTTTTTACTTCCTGCTAATTTCGTCATAGGGTTCTCAGAACGCTACTAGGGTGGAGTGAGTTGTAGCGGTATACAATTCCCTGAGTGATTATATGTCACACGTCCTTTTTGCGATGGCGTTAACTGCCACATTCTGAAGGTATTTGCTCGGTTCGTTTGAGCCAAGTCTGAGCTATTTATTTTCTTTGTTACAGGCAGATGTGGCCAACGTGATTTTGAATTTTACTGGGATTCACATGAAAACCTTTGTTTGATACTGTCCCTAAGAATGAATGCATCGCTTGTGTACCAGGACGCTCAAGTACGTGTTTCATGCAATAATTATTTGGCATACTGAATATACTTTGCTTATATTTCTGAAACTGCCCTTTAGATAATTTTTCGCAGCTTGTTGACAGTCTGTACTTGATGGTAGGTTTTCCGAAGGACTGATGTTCAACACCTGTTTCTGCTGCAGAAACCTAAGAATATGGTTGATAACGAGTTCGTGCTCCTGCACTTTATCGTTTTGGTTGCAAAAAGTCAATGGAATACGTAGATACAACCACATATTAATATTCATATTTCGGCAGAAATTACGTAGAGTTCTACGAATACTTTCAAGATTCCATATTTATCCTTGGAAATGTAAACTGCCCCAAGTGCACACCAAAATATGTTCAGTAGTTTGCTGCACCTGAATTGCTTAAACATCGTCGTGATCAGGTACTTAAGGACATTTGACAAGTTCGTTATTTCGTCGCTTTATCATCGCATTTGACTTCATTATCTCCATACTACTTGCTATTATCCTGAAACTGCATTGTGTGCGTTGCTCAAAAATAATTCACAGAATTATTTGGGAATCAGATCAATGTAGCGCGCAACACTTTTGAATGTTAAGGACATACGCTGTAGAAACAATTGCTACAGCCACTTTTGTCAACAATATTAATGATGTAATCGCACACTGATATAAACTTCCAGTAATTTTTACTATGTCAACTCCTTAATTATTGTATTGATGATGGTTTTCATGTATACGTCCTGTGAACTCTTGTTTCTTTCTTGGCTACTTGTCAGTTTTGTGGTTTCATGGGGTTCGCTCCTGAAGGAAGTGGTTGTTAGGATCACTGATTTTGTATTCTTGTCAATTCACTGTTAAATGTATTCCCTATTTCTCAGATGGATATTATACTTATACACACCGAATGTTAACTCTTGCGAATAATGTGAGCTACAAAGATTGGAGTATTAGGGTCATTTCCTATATTAAGTAGTGCTTTTAGAAGAGACGTTTACTTTTGAGTTGTATTGTCGTCAATATGCAACCGACTTGTTTTGGCACTTCAAATTTGTCAGCGGTAGTTATAATCAGTACGTACATGGCAAAAGGATTGTTAATAACGAAGAAAACGAGTAAACTAGTCAATGATTAGAACTATCTGTTATATTCTAAACAGGTGCTTGCGTAAGAGGAAAATTCATGTGTCGAAAATAGAGACATCAAACAGATGATGAAGTTGTTAACGTCGTTTTATATGAATAGGTAAAGATATATATTTGAGAGTGATAATAACTTGTTAATAATTTAAAGGATGTTTTGGTAGATAAGAACAAGTTGAGACGGTAAGAGTAAATGTATGGACATACAACATCAGCTGAATTGAAACAATCGGGCAAACTGTTTCGAAGATAAGAGCTGAGCAGTCTCCTGAAACTATTAATTTATTGAGTAACTAAATTTGTCTTTGAGTTGAGGTGAAAATAAAATGCTTGGTGTTAGGATAAAGGATCATTATTATTGTTGTTTTAAGTCAGTTTTGAATCACTAAAAGATGTATTACCCTGGAAGTTTCTTGATAAAAAGAATAAATTGTCGCCAAAGTTGATAAGTAAGTTCACATCCAGAAAATACCTAGGTTTACAGTTGTTTTTCCTACTACCATAACACCAGCTGACTCACCATTTACAGTCACAAAACAAAACTAGGTCTACCGAAGGCAGTCTGCTCCTGACTTCTAGATACCGTAAGGGAAATATGAGTTCCCTCATAGTTAAGTTTCATTACCAAGTGAATAGAATGCAATCTGCAGGACTTATGTAATTCACAAAATGAACTAAACCTGGTTAATGTTTCCTCAGTAAATTGAGAAATGAGCATTGCGATTGTATAAACTCGACGGCTTGTGAACTGCTGCCAATGAAAATGACAACAATTCTAGGAATCACATGTTATAGCTCCAGCTCGGTTGTGACATTCAGTAATTGTCAGATGACCACTTGAATAGTATCAAATCTAAACAGAAGTGCATAAGATTTAGCAAAACAAACATACTTTTGGTTTCACTATGATGTCTTCAGGCCAAATTTAATACAACAGGGGAATACGCATTTCGTTACTTCTCTCTTATACCACCGAGTTCGAAAAACTTCTTTTCGTCCTTGCTGAACTAAATATGGAGAGTCTTGTGAAGTATTTTATTTATTCATTTATTTATATTTTTATTAAAGCTTGATTCCACACAGTGCTTTTTGGTACAAGTATGAAATTTTCAGCATGTGATATCGGTAGCCCAAATTTTGCAGGTCGACCATAGATATCAGGTGTGCGTTGGCAGGAAGTCGAACTCCGGACCATTTTCGTGGTCGGCGAGAGTTCTAACCATGTACTATCAACTTCCTTATGCGGAGTAGCGGGCAAGGCATTCATAATCTTTTGCCTCACGTGGAATCGCAGATCAACTCGATGCACAAGTTGCAAAATAAAGTCTACCTTACCTGCTAAAAACTTGTCCTTATTTCAGTCAACAAGAAAATGTTTTTCCTCGTATGAGCTAAGTCCAAGAAATCGGAATATTGTAGCCATTAAATCTTCCCACAAAATAAAGGCCACTTAAGTGTTTTTCAATTGAAAAACATGTTCACAACAATGTCAAACACTGTACACATGGTGCTAGTGCTATGTGTCTCAAAATGAAAAGGAACTGTGATGAGTAAATGAAAACTGAGAATAATACTGGAATTGAGCTGTGAATACCAACAACTACCAAACCCCAGCTAGCATTGACTTTGGGTACATTGCAGAACTTTGTGGTAGGCTTTGGGTCATTGTCCCACGTTCTGCAGTGCACCCGAAGAAAATGCTAGCTGGTACAATTTGAGACAATAGCCTCTCAATAAATAGGCCGAACAAACCAGTACGATTTCGTAAAAATTTGAGAATAAACTTATAAATTTTGAACTTTCTTCCTTATTCTACACATGACACTGCACTGATATCGGTATCAAGCAACATCTGTGCGTCGGTGGCACAGTGGTTAGGGCTCTCGCCGACCATGCACATGGTCCGGAGTTCGATCCCTTGCCGACGCACACCCGAAATCTATGGTCGGCCTGCAAAATTTGGGCTACCGATATCCATGCTGAAAATTCTATACTTGTACTGAAAATACGGTGTGGCATCAAGCTGTATTCAAACAAACAAACTCCTGATATAAGTGCAGTAAATTAAACTCAGTTTAAGAACATTCTGCTGCCGATATTATGTACGCTAGAAAAGTTCCTAATGTGAAGTTTCATTTAAAATGCATGTAAAAATATAATCTGTCACTAAACCAATGTAGCAATGGATTACAACGCTATGGTTAGTGAGGAGATGCAATATAGCCACTCTAGTTCCCTGGAATTATTAGCCACAGCATTTATCACACGGTACTGTTTAAGTTGACCTGCCTATCTGAATGCTTTGGCTAAACATCCACGCCATTCGGCACACTGTCGTGTTACGTTCGCTTGTTCATGTACGATCCCTAGCTAATTGAGAAATCATCCTCGCACTATGGTTTTGGTCCCGAAATATTTTTCGTATTTTGGACGATAGATGGAATGTTTTGCTTTGTCTTTGGTTCGCGCGGAATGAGTACTTTAGAAGATTTTGGCATTGGATCTTGCGTCGGTAATCATAGTACTACCCATGAAAGTCAACACCCATAGCCTTTGGATGTCATACACTTTACTTACATCTCTGGTGTGGTTAAAACTAGATATTTGAATTCAGATAGTCTTGCGATTTCTTAATAGTAATTCATATATTTAAAAATGACCAAAGGAAGGCCATAAGTATGTTTCTTTGGGTGACAAACTCGTTATATGAGGAAGGATTTATCAGCTACAATCTCTTCTTATCACATGGTTGGCAGGCAGGGGATCTAATCACCATTTTCAGTATGTTAAGAAACCACTATGGTCCTGATCTGTTTCCTCATCTATCAGTGGGCATAGCAGGAGATTTCCAAAGCCAAGAATTGCTGGTTACTCCACCTTTGGAAGCAAATTCAAAAAGTGGTATCTTCGCCCTAAACGAAGTCGTTCAAGAAAGTACAAGACAAGAACAGATACTTGTTAGAAAAAGACTGAAACTAGGTCTGTAGTCAAGTAAAAAGCTGATGATGAAAAAATCTGAAGTTGGACAGAAGATAATACCTGTGGGAATTTCAATTGGTCTAGGTCGTTGATCGATTGCCTACTTTTCAATAATTGTACAGCAACCAGTAGACTTATTCGGCCTCATCCAAGCAGACAGGTGTGTAAAATGTGTATGTGATCCAGTTAAAAGTAAGTCGGTGGACAGTATTTGTGTTGTTTATGCAGTATGATGTGGTGATTACCTACTCATATTGATGCAGACGTATCTTGTTTATAAAATTAAGTTTATTGGTAAGGTCTATTCGTGTTAAAAATCAGGATTACTGCATAATGCAGTCCATAGTCATTTAAGGTAATTGATGGACGTCGTTTCTCACCATCTCACCAATGGAAACCTTTCTGTACACGCAAACATTTGGGAATAAAACACAAGATATTTGAGCTCATCTCATGGAGTAAAAAGTGTTTCCCACAGCTTGAAATATCTTACCTGGAGTTTATGAAGTGCACATAAAGTGTATGTTGATACACCGGTCCATGTGTAAAAGACAGTCATGAAGTTGAAACTCAGTTCAAGTCTTATAAGCCTTGAACAACGTTCTCCTGAGAGAATATACTAGTTGAGATTATTTTTTAATCAAGAATCATGAACGCATAATACGTTCCATTTCTATTCTCATTGGATATCACTTCACTTATGATAGGTTTTAAAAAACCTTTTCCTCTAATAAGCCTAATCAATTGACGCCCATTGTCTATTTCTGTCGTTGGCCAACGCTGTGTTATAGTAATGGCGAAGACTTTAGTCAGCTTTCACTCCATGTTTGGAACCCTCCAGATCAAATTCATTTGCCTCAGTCATTTCAGATGAAATCACACGAATCTACGGACATTTACTAAACTTTAACTACAAATTCTCAACTGCCTTCACTTAATTTCTGTGTCTGATTAGATGTGGCAGCAGGCTCTTTCACGGTTAGTGTTGCTTTGTTTCCTCCTCCCTAGGAGGCTAGATCCGTAAGGGTTTCACAGCCGTTTTTTTCTCAGTAGCGGTTTTATCGTACGGAGTGATGTACTATAAGAGTGCGGATAGCTGTTCTAGAATGGGTCGCAGCTTTTCATCGATAACGTGTTAAAATGGTTTATTTGTGTCCATCGTTAGCTTGATGTTGGTCTCTCGGTGAGACATTGTCTGTCTTTATGTTCGAACCTGATACCCATTGGCTGAAACTCGACTTCGTAAGCCAATAGGTTATGTCACAACCAACCTGTGTGGAGTTTCATTCGTACGGGAAACCTTACCGTCGGTACAGACCACTGTGAAGTAAGCCGAAACGTACGATTTTTAAGGCTCCTTTTTTCTATAACACCCCCCAGATTTAGAGAACCTACTGGTTCGTCAAGAAAAAAGCCGTACTATTGTTACACCTCTTCACTAGGAGTACTGTGTAGCCCTCATATCCCCACCGTAGTGTAAGTAACTGACACTATAATGGTAACTGCTTTCAGTCTAACCTCTATTCAGATGTCCTCCCTGGCATCCTAGGACCTGTAGGGACGGAAGCAAAGCGATCGTTTATCATCTGCCCCCAAGCAACCAACTCAGTACGTGTTGGGAGTTACTGTCTGTGGCTAAACACCAGTTTCTGTGACTTCACTTAAAACTAGTGCATTGTTCTTATTACAGATAGAATCACAACACGAGTGGAATAGGATTCTGCGTTACTCTCAAAAGTTTTATTATTCCTTGTTTTTGTTTATGGCTGCTAGCCATTAACTATTGGAAATTTGCGGTCCGTTATTGATTGTCTATGGTCACTGAGAAAATGCGCATAAATATTTATGTAGGTTATAGCAAATCCCTTGTTGGAGAAATGGTGGGTAGTTGACTAGTTTTCATTTTTCGTGTTTTCTTTAGAGACTAATTAATAAATCGGTTAAACTTTATGTCATTTGATTACAAGTGACCACTGCAAATAGAGCTTATTTTCTGGTCAATGTTTGGATAGTTCCCAAGAGCAACATACGCATTTATAGCAATTTTTCATGTTTGCACCAATAGTTTTACGTGAAACTGTCCCACATTATCATCTACTGTAGCTAACTGCTTCCTTTTGTTGGTTGTGTTTATTGATGAATAATAAGGGTTAATAATGTCTAAGTGCTGATAACTAAGAGGTATTTTAAATTCATGTGTTATCAGCTTTAGTATGTTTGTTTATTTCTTCATGAAACGTAATATGTGATCGATCTTATTACACTGTACCTTCTACTTCTACTTTCTGTTTTCTCTATAGCTGAAATTGATTGCTCAACCTACTCAAAGTTCGATACAGCAACTTCTACAGTTAACATCCCAGATTCATCCTGTTGTAATTGTTTCTGCCAATGTGGTTCACTCGATGCTCCTATAAGTTATTTTCTTCATTTCAACACAAACGGTTTATAAAACCCACTGTCGTGCTGGTTTGTAGTTTTTCTTGGGTAACAGGGTCAGATTACAATAATCTGCATAAAGAAAAGTCGTCATTATTTTCAGATGTTTCTCCTAATACTGAGGTGGGTTCTAAAATACATTCTCTTTAATGGACATCAGAAACACTATCACCAAAGGTTTATGAATTTTGCTTCCCTACAGTATAATGATGAGGCTTATATGACTCCGAGAGACTTCGTGAAATGTTTCTTATCTCCAGTTGCAACCGGTAAGTGTTATGTGTTTCAATAACAGCTCGCAGTGCCTGTTCACCGAACCAATTTGTCATCTAGTGATATCAAAGAAATACTGCATAAGTCGTCAAAAGTTGATTTTAGTTATGGTTTTCTTCGAGAACTAGGTCCTAATGGTGTAATATCATACAGTGATTATCTTTTTCTTATATCAGTTCTTACGCGTAAGCTTTGAATATACTGTTAAACTTCAGATCCTCAAAGTGGATTAGAAATAGCTTTTCGCATGTTTGACTTGGATTCAGATGGGAGTGTTGATCTTGATGAATTTAGAAAGGTAATTTGTTTTTCGCTCATTATTTTTCCAGATAACCAAAGTTATTCCTAAATTCTACATGGGTGATCATCAATGTCAAAATGTTGTAAGTTGTATCTACTCCTAATACTTCAGTCAACAAATGTTGACGATACAACTTTACTGCATCTGTTTTTTGGCAAGTCGGGTAAAAGAAAGCTGCATCGTGATGAATTTTACAAGTAATCTATTAATTATCTGTTTAAAGCCTCTTAGGTTTATCTCAGGTCTTCAATCTGAACTTTTACATTATGAGTTTGAACAACTTAATTTGAACCAAGGTGTTATGTCTCCAGTCGACCTAGGTCGTTCACTCTTGCGATATTCGAACATTAGTGCCGATAATGCTCAAAAAGGTTTGTTAAAGATACAAGCAGATCGTGAATTAATGCAAAAGGTATGAAAAGTATTGTTGGTAGTATTTTGTAGGACGTTTCGTTTGACGATTACAAAGCCTTGTTCGATTTCTTATTCGTTCTGGATGATTTCACCTGTGCGATACGAATGTTTTTGATTTCAAAGCATTCCATTTCTAAGGGTTAGTTGGATAGATTATCTCCTTTGTATAAAGTTTTTTTGCATCTTAACCCTTCGACTATGATCTTTCATAGGTCTCATTACGCACACCTGTCTTGAGTTTGGAAACTGCAATGACAAAATTTTCTCAGATTCAGCCAATTAGATACCTCTTTGAAGACAACAATGTTTATATTTATTTTGCATCCTAAGATATTTATTTCTGTTGTTGCAAGCATCCATACTGCTTCAACAGGGGAGTCTGTAGGCTCAGACAACCCTTTCAGTCTTGTTAACAGCTGAAACCAAAGTGAAAACGTCTTGTTGAAGTCATATTCAATGTGGTATCTGGATTTACTGTCTAAATGAATGAATTATTAATCAGACTAACACCAATACACTCCAGAATCTGCATACCCGTATATATATATATATATATATATATATATATATGACTGATAGTTACATACTTTGAAAGGTTTTTTGAACTGACTTTACCAGGATTGTATATGTGAAACGCTTATGGATTACTGGAGGGAAATATTAAGATTGAATTCAATAAGCCTTCCATGGTGTAGCTCAGGTACTTTCATACTTAAGGAGTCCTCTGTAATATTGAGTTGCATTTTTCTTACTTCACTTCATCACAGTGACCGGTTGTTAGGCTTTATGTATAATTTAGACTTTAGACTAGAAATGCTAACTTTTATTTTTTTTCTGTTTAGGATAAACCAAAGATTTTTTTTGCAGTCTTACGAGTATATCAGACATTCAGTCGTTTAGGTCTTTACAATATTCTTAGGAAACCACAAATATTTTTATCTGTATAAATTTTATTTTTCACTTATTATTCCAGATGAGTTTCAGAGAGCAGCACGTGCCGTTACTGGGAAGTGTCTCAGCACAGTTGTGCTGGATACAGTTTTCACTCTTTTTGATATTGATGGTGATGGTCACTTAAGCGTATCTGAATTTATTGAAACTATCCGGGCGCGTGGACTTCGTGGATTAAATATCAATGTTAGTTCCATCTATCGTTTGATCTATTAATAATTTACTCTAAAATTTAAGGCGATTTTCAGCGTTGTAAATAAGACATTTTTTTTTACTAACTATAGCTATGCTTCTCACTCCTCCGTCTGTTACACATGCTCTAGAATAACTACTTTTGAGCTGTAAGAATTTGGTCAGCAGAGACTTTTGGTTTTAGGTTTTTATGACTTTTATCTCTCATTGGTAATATATGTCTGCAGCCTTCAGCAAATTCATATTCTTTCCATTATTCAAATATTCGTCATTCAGTATCGAAGACAATTTTATCTCTACGCTACTTGAACCACGACTTACCCCAAGTAGTACTGTATGTATGTGAATCAGTCTCGAAGCGGTAACCGCGTAGCTGTCCAGTCTTAACCTTGTTTATCAAAACCAGGTGTTCAGTTTGGTTACTAATGCGACTAAAGTGACACTGCTCTTCACTATGTTGTTCAGTGTTTAGAAGATTTAATCAGTGCAGATTTTCAGACCTATACCGGATGGAGACGTCTTTACCTTACTTTGGCCTAATCGCTGTTTCAGTTGAGAGTATGAGCTGCTAAAGGGTCTGAAAATAAAAGCAACAGCTATCCTGTTGTTTCTCAAATCCTAGTAGTTCTACAACTGGTGTTGGTTTTTGGCAAAACTCACCTTGAAATTGATCAAATCTCCACAAATCTAACATCTGGATTTTAACATTCCATAACTTCTTTCTTAGTTATGGTGTTACAACAAACAAATAATGATGGATTACTAGTGACATAAGTCGTTAGGAAGCTAAATTTGTAACATTGGTCATGTATATGTAAATAAGCGCATCATTAAAGTAGTAAATAATGTGAAAATTAATGGGCATCGATCTTGTTTGTATTAATCTTAATAAGAGCCTCGGTTAGGGGCGTGTATCTCAACGGGGTTAATTATAAAGTCGGTTTTTATTATTTGACAGATACAAAAATTCAAAGAAAACAACTTCATTTTGCAAAAGTCCTCTATGTTACCTTAGTTCGTTAAGTTCAACTATGATCTTAGAACAATAACCACATTAAACATAATGCGTTTTTCGATTGCCTTGATTTTCACAGAACTACACCTAGACGTAAATATTGAAACATATAATTCCTTATTTCAACTTGTTTGTTAGTGTCTGTCAACAGTACACTATGTTTGAAGAGTTAATACTTGTGGAAGAAAATTTTTCTTTAGTTGCATCGGACATCTCAATCAGTTATTATACTTAGTTTCTTAAGTTCAGTTTATTTTTGAATGTTGTAAATAGTCACGAAATTCCTCATCTTCATAAAAAATGACTGGCACACATTTTCAAGTGATTTTTCGTAATGTCTTTTTGAAGATACAGGTGATTAGCTTATGCACCAGACATTTATACGAACTATTGCAGATTCACAAAAGTATGTAGTCAAACTAATACAGTCAAACATCTCCTACAGCACATTGAAGTAAAACGAACCCCAGGATAAACACATGTGACAGAATGATTTAATGAAGGTTAGTGATGTTCACAATTACGAACATAAAAAAGGATATTTCATCACCACTGTGAAGGATCCTAAGTTGCATTTTTAAGAGCTTTCAGTCATTGATTTATAAAATTAATTATTCATCATTGCTAAATAAGTTAAAAAGAGTGTAATAGGTAATTGAGTTATTTTGTTTCTACTGCCTTATTCTCACTTGCTTTTAAGTAGGTTAAATTTTATTGATTCTCTCTGTTTGTTTATTTGCAGGATTCTGTACCTTCGCGTGTAGATTCTTTTAAACAGTGCATACGGAAGTTCAGTTATTCAAAGTAACCTAACCTATACATTATAATAACCTTCGTCCAATGGTGTACTGCTTCATTTCAATTAACAATAATATAGATTTTATATCAGTTGTCCACTTGCAATTACATCTTCTGCTTCATTTTATCGTCCAACGAACATCACATTTTATTTAAAACAAATGCTCTCAGTGACTGTCTCCTATTCTGTTGGATGCTTTTTTTAAAGTTAAATAAAACTACTTGATTTCTTTTTCTTTTTAAAATTGTCTGTTTGTCAGTGTTTACACAAAGTAGGATATACATCTTATCGTATGTTGTGGGATGATATTCCTTTTTTTTCTATGTTTAAGTGACATATTGAAGGTGCATATTGTTTACTGGTTTTGTTGGTGACTTTTCTGAATTTTGCTACCCAAGAATCTGGATACCACAAATAAGTTACTGGTATATATTTATTCTATTCGCACCAGGGAAATCAATCGCAATCATTGTATCAAAAATTTGGAGGACTGCATCTTAAGTGTGTTCATGTAATGAGACTGGGTTTTTGAAGACAATTTCCACATTTTTTTCAAGGATTTAAACTGAAATGTAGACGAATGACCATCCGTGAAATAAAAAACAGTCCTCCAGTGGTGTTAAGATATATCATAAATAAACTCTTTAAACCAGAAAACACCTAGTAACATTATATACCTTTCCTAGTCAGCGTACATACTACTTACCATAAAATCCCTTAATTACTAGAGTACAACGCCATTTATCCATCATTTACTAGAAGATGTCTGTATGAATTATGTTGAGTGATGCGTGATAATTCTCTTTAATTAATTTCAAACACTGTCCTAATCTATTATTGCGTACTACTATTTGTTGCTCACATTCTGAGTAATAATCGCAAGGCTTCAGTGGCATATCTGCACTAAATTCGGTTATGTGCTATCAGCTTCAACTCGTCCCATGACTGCTCACAAGCTTGCATTTCTCATTCACATGATCTTTTCTGTTTCATTCTCGGATACTCAACCCGTCTCTTCTTGTTAGGGTTCCACTCAAGGTTCTGATATGTGATGTCATTTGAAGGTTTCCTCAGCGTAAGTTCAATTCACCTCTATTTTCTTCCACATGTATTTTGGGCCGTAGGTTGCTTGTCTTTTATCACCATGTGATCTCCTCTCAGTTGGTGATTGTTCAAATCTGTAAGGAAATAATAATCTTTAAGAAAAATTCACACGGAAACTAACTAACATTAATTCGAAGTGAGTGGTGTTCGTAAAGGGTTAGCGCATAGAACTCGTGGTTAGTCTTTATTTAATATCCCAATAGGTTGCTTCTCTCTTGATGTGGTGGTCAGGTTTGCTTGTTACAATGATCCGAGAAGTTATATTGGTCGAAATAATTGTTTCCGTGGATTTTTCTGTATTTTATAAAGGGTCATTGGTAGTCGTTAGTCTGGAAGCATTTTCCATCATAAAAGAAATGGTTTATGCTATAGTGAAAGTCAGAGGGCAAAGTTTCGCTTGTAAAAGGCTTGTAACAGTTGTAAGGTGATGCTTAGTAATTCAAATGTGGGTGGGTCTAGAAGAGATCAGCAGAAAATACCTTGCACTCAGAAAAATTATGGATGTCCGTTACTGGGAAAGAGATAAACCTCTTATGCCCGAATATGATATAATTTGTTATATCTCCCAACGTGTGTAGCAACTCACAAGTAGGTATCGACTGGATGTGCAACAAATCCTTTATCATTTTCAGATACATTCCGAAGTTGAAAACTTCTACCGCGTGGCCAGCCAGGTGATGCCTGTCGCCTACGCGGCCGTCAGGGCTCAAGTACTGTTCGGTCATCAGCTCTAGATTTTATTTCTCTGTAATGACAAAACAATACTAACTTGTTCTGTAGCCTGTACTAATGACCACTGCAAAATATGTCTTGGACGTGCGTTTCACACATCTACATATCTTCAGTGTTACTATTTTGGCAGAATTAGAATTGATGTAACCGAAAATGAAGGGCGGTTACACTAGTTCTTAGTGTAAAAGTGTGAAGTCAATAAATACTGTTCAGCGCATCTGGACACTTAGAAATTTGTAAAATATGGCTCGAAATGGTTTGTAGCAATAACATACATTCATTAATTAAACGAAAGAATAGATGCTGTTCTTTATAATCGCCATTAATTTTTGGACTGTGTGACTCAACTTCATGTGAAGGGCATTTCAATACTATTTTAGTAGAGTAATCTTGTCACCCACAGGTGATCTAGTTCTTTAGTCTAAAATTAAAGATAACAGACCCAGGTCTCAAGAGTTTATTATTTAGGATAATGTTTAGTTTCTGATATTCTTGTTGTTTCTTGTAGCATTTTGTAATTCTTGATGTTTAAGGGAGAAAACATGATTGTTTGTTTAACTTATATTGTATGAATACGCATGTCTCAAATGAAGTCATTTTGTGTGTGACAAACTAACGGATTGCTTGAATTTCCTAGATTGTGCTGTGGTAGAGTAACAATTAAAAGACCAGTGGGAAGTGAATTTCATTCATATGGCTTACGACTTGAGTAAATGTATAATTCTTAACATTAAAGTCCAATTTCTTGTTTTTCGTAGTCTCTGAAAACATTCGGTGGTTTTATGTAAAAAACATAGTTTTAATGTCAATAACGTCGTTAATATTACTTCTCGGGTGTGAAGAGATGTAGCTGATTGACTAAAGTACCTGAGTTTGAGTCAATTGGGCCTCAGTTCGAAACCCACTCTACCTACTTCAGTTTGGGTGAATCAGTAGTATCACCAGCCCTCAGGCAATAAATGTGGCTCCTATCCTGGTACACAAAAGATGTTTTGGGTAACTAATTTCAAATAGTCTGATTTGATTGCAGAAATTGGTATGCACAAGAGTCAAGGATTTATTTAGTACTTTATAATGACTGTTTACATCCAGTGTTTTTTAATTGAATCATATATGAAACTGCTGTTAATGATTTGCTTTTTTTTATAGGATCCTATTCATAAATTTCAATACTGGCCACGTTATGTGTGCCGTTTAATTAGAATGCGACCCGTTTATCGAAAAGAATTGTTGGGCTGGCGTTTTCAAACGGATCACATGTATCAAACAGGTGATTCACTACCTAATGAAGTAAGTACTTATTGATAAGAACACCAAACTTGAGGGCTTTTTATATCTCTTTCAATATGTAATTTCCATAGTTATAATCGTGAATCAATTCTTAGTTAGTAAGCTAGACAGTTCACTACTGCGTTTTTTGAAATTTACGTTATGTGTTAGGTAATCTAATCAGTAAGCAAAGCCTAATCTACATTTTGCGTAGGCGCATATTTTATGTTTAGTTGTATCTGTAGGATTGTGAAGATTTATTATCTCCCAGGTAATATGAATTTTTTTTGTTTAATATCGAAACCAAAGACTTCATTCCTGAGTGAATAGAGAATGTTTGCAATTCATGTTAAATCAATGACACAAATTGACTGATATATATACGAAATTCATCCGTTGAACTATTGGAAAAAGTAAAAAAACAAGTAATTCCTTAGTTCTCTATAATCTCACTAAGTTTTTTTGTGTGTAAATGCGGTGATGATGATTGTAATCGTTGAAATTGAACTGGCAACGGATTTAAGACAACCGGTTATAACCGGTCATCAATATGATACTTTACCAAGTAAATCGTACTATTTTTATTTTGGTCACAGGATTTCATCATGAGCTGACATAGGTTAGAGAACCATTGGAAAACCTGGGAGTACTGAACAGCCGTTTCGTACTAGTTTTGGACTCTTCATCAGTACGCACCCACCGGGTTTCGAACCCAGGACTTTCTGGTTATAAGGCGAGCTCGTAGACCATTAAGCCACTGATCCAATGGCCCATGAATTGTAACTTCTGCCAATCACGATATAGCGCAACCGCTAGCTAATGTCTTCGGCGAGTATTTGTCCTCACACCCAACCTGCTGCACTCTACTGGTCACGACTTCCCACTAGAAACCCAGGTAACTACCTACCTGAATAGGGCCAGTCGCCAGTGAACATCTCATTGATATTCAAGTATTGGTTTGTAGGGATTTGGTTGATTGGTAACCATCTCAGCTCATACATCAGATATTTTTTGTAGAGTTAACTATAAGTTGGAGGTCTTAAAATTCCTTGCTTAAATTATTCCTTCACGTCTTGCTAAGCAATAAAGAAGTTAAATAACACTTTATACTGTAAATATATTTTTGAGATAATAGATATTTTATGTTTATATAATACTGCTTTCAGTCGAGGGAAGAGAAATTTCTCCCAGTATGGCACTTTTCTGAAAAAGCTCCTTGGAATATTGCCAACCGCTTATCAGAGTTTCCATATCCGAATTTAACATGGTGTGTTATCCATGAAGATGGCCGAAAGGAGGCACGAAAATTACGACCTTTGCCACCAGAGGATCAATTAATTTTCAAGGGTGATCGTGTCCGAGTACTTGTTGGACCTCATAAAGGAAGAGTAAGTCATGTTATTCTGGTTTCCCTAAATGCTTAAGTATGGTTTCATCCATTCATAAATGTATTCTGGCTCAAGTAGAAACCTGTATTAGTCAACCATACTACATACTTGAATAATGCAATGCGAACAGCTTTTACAGGATGAGATGAATTCGTTTTATTTCACAGGATTTTTGTCAGCTATATACAAACTGAACAATAAATTATATTAACAACGAATATCAAGTAATTTAAACATACTTTAAGTGAATAGCCGGTTCATTTTATTAGAGGAGAATAATAACATGCCGAAAATAGGGATGTAAAAAGTGTACAAGAAGTTAGAATAATCAATTCGAGAAACCATCGCCAGTTTTTTTTTCTGAACATCTCAAAATCGTTAGTTACGGAACAGACCTACGAGAAATGTACAGAAAACCTAGATAAATATGTTTACAACTTTTCAAACACTCAATTAAACCAACTTCAAAAGGAGCTCTTTCTGTTGAACTCCAGTTACATATTCTGTAAAAGACTG